AACCCTCACCCGATGTCAGCTGCAAAGTTACATTACTTTGAACAGGATGGTCTCTGTTGGCAGACCAAGCTACCACAGGAATCATAGCCATTGGCAATTGAAATAACAAAGAAGTAAAGAGTTACTGCAGGTTTCATTGCAGAAGAAACCACAAGCGAATTTTGGGTCAGAGGTTGCGCTGGCAAGGATAGCTCTCACCACTGATCCATCACGCAAATTGTCTGCACCGACCGTTTTAGTTTTCCATGAATTCCCGACTAGCATAACTGGATCCACGTAAGTTTGGGCAGTGATTAAGTAAACAAGATGATGAAGAACAAGAAAGCGAAAAACCCAACGGCAACATTCAGGCCAACAGACAGTCATTGCAAGGAAAACAATTTCAGTGGAAAAAGAGGGAGGGAAAGAAACGATCAAGGCTTAAAAATTTTCTTTCTAATTGGTTCCAAAATCGAGTTCAAAGTCCACCAAGTCGGCTGGGCTACATTTTATTCTTTTGGGGAAATTCAAGAAGAGAAACCGTGTATTTTGCTCCACATGACCAATCAATGCATGTTAGAGGAGGACTAGAACTAGTGGCCAGTCCCACTCGTCCAAACTTCATGAACTATGAAAGCATCAAACAATAATTGTAAATCAGCAAGGACAGAAAAATACTGGTTTCTTTTTTGTTATAGATGAAAAGAGAAAATAAAAATCGGGCAAGAACAATTACTGTTTCTTGACAATTTATGCATCGGATTTGTTTGTTCCTAACAACAATTTATGTATTAGTTAGATCATCATGTGACCCGAAACTTAGGTCAGGTTAGGTCTCAATAAAAATAAAGGGAAAATTAATCTTTAATGATCTAGTTAAAAACTCTAAAACCCATTCAATCCAAATAAAATCCCGTTGAAATCTAATTGAAATTGTCTTTTTAATCTGCTAACTAGTGCTAACATGTATAGATAGCTTGAATAGCACTCCAGAGCTTAATTTCAGAGATCATATGTGGACTTGTACGCAAAGATAGCGAAGATATCTTGTATCTGAAGATATTAAATAGGTTGCAGTAGTCATGATCAACGCTAAGGAAGATGAAATTGAAGAAGAAGGGAATGCTTATAGAACGAGACTTGTTCAGCTTCTAGTTGTTTGTTCCGTGGCTGTGTTTTGTCGTGAAAAGCCACATGCCTCAGCAGGAGCTCGACAAGTCTCATTCCATCACCATTCCCTTCTTTACTTCCCACATTCCTTAGCATTGATCATTGTCGCTGCTGCTGCCTCTTCAACAGCCTCAGCTGCCAGATAGCCTTGGGTATAAGTCCATATCTGATCCCTGAAATCAAGCTTAATCGAAATGCTATTCAAGCTGCTACCTAGTGCTACTGCTGCGGCGCAAATGCTGCTTCCACCACTATAAATTAGGCTTGTATGACCTTCACTGCTCATGGATTCTGCAACACTTGATGATCGTTTTATCCTCAAGTACCTCTCATTTTTTCACCTCACTCTCACTCTCGCGCGCGCGCACAGCTCCGAAGGAAGGTGTGACAAAGCAAGGACATTTATATACAGGAGAAATAGCCCTGTTCAATTTTATTTATTTTAAATATAGTTTTTATATTTTTAGATTGTTTTAATATATTGATATAAAAATAAATTTAAAAAATATTATTTTAATTTATCTTTATAAAAAAAATTAAAATAACTAATACCACACTTTCAAATATTTTTTTTATTGTCAAAATGCCACAAATATTATTTTCTCTAGGATTGAGTTGCCATGGCCTCAAGAACACATACACAAACTTCCTATGTGATTACAGAAAAATCATGGGCTCACATTCATGGGCCTAGATTAACAGTTATTGAAAACATTGTCACAAACCCTAAATCAGGCCCAAATTATTTACTAATTTTCATCAAAACTTTTCTACTGGATAAGGGAGATGCAAGTGAACATCACCATCCCGCTGCAAGAATATATATATATATATATATATATAATAATTTGGTACTGCAATTAACTATTAGTATCTTCTCTTGCATCTGCATCGGTCAGTAAGCTTGATCTTGCGTATATTTTATTTTTGTGATAAAAAGAATATATGCAACGCGCACCTAATACTATAAAATATGTTGATCTTAGCCATCCCTCGAGCTTGTAATCGCCCTCAAATACTATAATATCGTGGCACAGTCATTAGGCGGCTACAAAAAATATATTAAATTTATTTGGGACTGCAATTAATTGTTCATTTTTTATTTTTCTTGTAAGAGAAACCTCGATTCAGTCTTCAATCTATCCATTAATATTAATTAATCTCTCTAAACAAGATTAAAAGACTTATCAAATTAAAATATAATACAATCATAAAATAAATTAAAATAATATTTTTAATGTTAGAGAATCGAATACGGTTATGTTTTGGAAATCTTTTCATTTAAAAATATATTAAAAAATAAATTTTTAGTTTTTTACACTAATATATCAAAAAAAATAAAAAAAAAATTGGCTCTGATTTATATTTGTCGAGTCAAATCTTTATACACATGTTCATCGAAGCAAAAGGAAAGCATCGCACGGATACTACTAAAATACAAAAAATAATATATATATATCATTGATCTTTGACCAAATTGGCTCCATCATCGTTATCATCCACAATTCCACTACTGCTAGGCAGATGCAATTATTTTCTTGAGGAAACTTCACATGTCAATCCTCCACGTGTTGGCTCAAAGTTTTCTCTCAAGATCCTTGATTATTGAAAAAGATGCTAACTTCACAGGCCGTGGATTAAAGCCAGCAAGAACATTGTTTCATATCATCATGCTGTGTTTCAACACTGAATAATTGAAATATATGTTAAAAGCTATCATTGCATGTCAGTCTTTGAGGTTTTTAAGAAAACTCGTTGGTATGCATCTAAACTCGATACAATGATTAAAACTTGTAAATTTTTTTATCTTATTCTTTACTTAACCTGAATTTTATATTAAATTAAGTGAAAATTATTTAAAATTACTTTAATAACTAGACATGTTTAAAGAAAAAATATATATTTTATTGATTCCAATCATCTATTTAAAACCATAATCGTATTTGTAAACTCTATTAAGTTGAATTAATTTTTTATTTTATTATATAATAAAAAATAAAATTAATTTATAATTATTTTAATATTAAATAATAAAAATTAATAAAAACCTAACGTGAAATCAAGTCTAATTTCTAATTAATTCAAATTAAATAATGAATTTAAAAAAAATATTCCATTAAAAAAACAAAAAACTTAAATTAACTTGGCTAACTTACAAAACTCACGACCTGGGTTATGAAAACATGATTATAAAACTTATTTCTTAATAAATCAAATATTAAATTAAAAAATTAAAAAATATTTTTTTTTTAATTAACTCAAGTAAACATAACAAACTTGAAATACTTATAACCTAAGGTCACAAGATCATGACTAAAATAAAAATAAAAACCTTAATTTTTTATTTTTTTTATTGCTATACTGGAAAGCAAAGTCCTTTTAGTACATGTTGATATATTTCATGTACACATATTTTCTAAAAAATTTAAAATTTATAGCATGACTTGAGTAAAAAATTTAAAACTTATAGCATGACTTGAGTTGAGTTTTTAATTAAATTGAGTAAGTTATTGGTGTAATAAAACTAAGTTGATTTGGTTTTAGTGATTTGGTTGATCCAACCAAATCCGACTCGACATAAGTTTTTTAGTGATTTGGTTGATCCAACCAAATGACGTAAGATGAAAATATTAAATATAAATAATAATAATAATTAAAAAAAATATTCATCAATAAACATAGTTTAACCTGTACTTTTTTCTGGGTCGATTGAGATCATGGGTATTAGGTGAACTTGGACAACAAGCAATTGGCAAAATGATGTACACTTAAGGGACTTACTTGAAACATACAGCATATATGAAGGACTAATTTGTAGTTAACCCCAAGTTGAGGTTTTGAGTCCAAACAAGTTTCCACAGTCAACATGAGGAAAGCCACGTTCTCCACAGCTACGAACCAAGTCCATTACAACCAGCTGTACATAAATATAAAGTGATGGTGTGAAAGAATGGTTATAATTATTTTTTAAAAATTATTTTTGAAATTAATATATTAAAATAATTTTAAAAATTAATTTTTAATAAAAAATTAAATTTTTTAAAAATAAGTTAACGCGCGTTTCCAAAACAAGCTCGAAGACTCTCAGACGCCTCTCATCTTTTTTGTTTCTCCGACAGCACATTCCTACATGTCATCGATGGGCCCGACACGTCACTTTCGACTGGTTGTTAGTCCAGAGCTTGACACGTGTGTTTCGGCTTCGTAATTTAAGGATAGATGGACAGAAAAACATTTGAAAAAAGACAAACACCTTTTGTGGGCCATCCTATTTCTATCTATACGTGGAAGCCCATTATTGGTCCACTTGTAAGTAGTTCAGTTCGGGGATTCCATTTGTCAGATTCGTGTCGTCCTGGTTGTGCCCCGCAAAAGATTTCAGAATACCGTGATATATAGCCGATTTAGCAAAGAGAAGAGATGGAATTAAGAATTTTTACCTAATCATCATCATCATCATCATCATCAAACTTAAAATTTAAAAAATTAAGAATATTTTTTTACTTGAAGTAAAAAATTATTATAAAATTAAATTACATATTATTTTTATTAAAAAGTTTAAAATACATTTAAGTCTTTAACTAGCTCATTAATTATAATTTATACCATCTAACTTCTTCAAGAATACTTAATTTGAAATAGTTTTCAGTCAACATCGTTCATTGCTGACTCATATTTTATCATAAATTACATATAAAGAAATAATTAAATACAAAGAAGGAAAGAATCAGAAGATGGAGCGTCTGGGTGGACACGTGGAAGAAGGAGAGCAAATAATGGTAAGTGAAGGGGCAATTTGGAGCTGGCCTCCCATTCGATAAATAGAGGGAACACAACCCATTGCTCTTTCTTTCTTCTCCTCCACAGTCCCCACTTCTTCAAGATTTAATTAATAAAATTAGTAAAAATGAAATAAAACATAAACTCTCTCTTCTCACAAAGACTATCTCCCTCTCTGTTTGTCAATGTCAAACGGAGATGACTGTTAACGGTAACGGATTTTAATGACGGAAGTTTACCGAAGGATGTTAAACGACGATGGAGATGATTCACCGGAGAAATGCAGGGAGCGCAGAAGGAGGAGAATCGAGATGAGGCGTCTCGCCTCTGGTGGTTCTTCTCAGCCGATTGATCCTCTGACTTCAAAAGAGAAGAAACAGGCGGCGGCGGGGGAGAGCTCGAGTTCAACTTCCTCGGAAGGAAAACGGGTTGTGGAGACGGTTTGTGAAATTCCGGTGGCGGAGCCGGTTTTTGGGAGCATGTCAGTGTCAGGAAGGTCACGTGAGATGGAGGACGCGATTTCTGTAAGGATTAACCTTTTCCAGTCGGAGGTTACCCGCCGGAGACCGGTGCATTTCTTTGGTGTTTTTGACGGTCATGGCGGTGCTCACGTAATGGCAGAAAACTGTCCAGCTCTGTTTTTGAAAGGGCATTATGGTCATTTAATAAATGTATTTATATATTTTTTTCTCTATTTTGCGCAGGTGGCAGCATTATGCAGGGAAAGGATGCACGTGTTGATAGAGGAAGAACTGGCACGCGTGGACTCAACACGCGTGAGTAGTGAGAGTGGGGGTGGTGGGGCTGAATGGGAGGAAATGTGGAGGGGAGTGATGAAGAGGAGCTATGAGAGGATGGATGTGGTGGCAATGGGCACGTGCGCATGTGGGAGTGAGTGGTTCAAATGCGGGTGCCACCCGATGCAGATGGCACTCGGAGGGTCTACAGCGGTCGTAGCTGTTTTATCCCCAGAGCATATAATCGTCGCTAATTGTGGCGACTCACGCGCCGTCCTATCGCGAGGCGGGAGGGCCATTCCCCTTAGCGTTGATCATAAGGTTAGTTTTGCAATCGGAAAACGCTGATGGTACTATCAATACACGTGTTAGGTAACGCAGTCCGTCCATTGCTAGTCATGATTTTAATAATGGTGACTCTAGATTTTTACGTTTTTTGCATGGGATTACATGTATATGTCGATGTGAAACACATGGATTTGTCACCTTGCCACATAGAACATGTTTTAGAGAACAGGTGGCGTTTTGTTTGACAGGGTGGGGACTAACATCCTTTAAACCAGGAGTCTGTCTTTTTTTCTTGTGGAAAGCTGTGCTCTTGTACTACCATGTTTGTGGTCTTGACATTTGGCATAGTTATGATGTCCATTCTTCATTGAATTGAACAATCCTTTTGACTAAGGTTTCAGAACTGTTCTGATGATTTGAGAAATGGTTTGTGGTTTGTAATGTTTGGACCTCCACCAGCACATGCATGTGTTCATGAATAAACAGTGTCCAAATGGTTACTTTCCATCTGTCACGCAACGGAGGTTTTCAATAGTTTAGCTAGGCAACCTCGTATTTTCATCACAGTATGAGTTTTTTTTGTTTTTCGTCTGATGCAGGATTCAGGATTTGTTAATCGGAGAATTGGAAATGAAAATAAAGATTCCAATCTAACATATGGGATTTACATCTTATAGGATTTACTTGTAATATTTCAAATTTATTCCACTTTATATAGGATATCCTAATTTTTTGTTAACTATAATCTTATTATCTGAAATTAAATCATACTAAACAAGAAAATGAGAAGTGAAAAAATTCTTGTTTCTTCCTAAGGTTTTAAAGGATTGAAAATTTGAGGAGCTATCTCTCCTTTTTTGGGTTTGATTTGACTTGCTCACCCTTTTATCTTTTTGTTACCTTTTTTTTACTTGATTAATTAAAAAAAAAAATTCCCAACATTTGTTGCAGCCGGATAGATCGGATGAACTTGCAAGAATTGAAGCTGCTGGAGGCCGAGTGATCTTCCTGAATGGAGCTCGAGTTGAAGGCATTCTTGCTATGTCTCGAGCAATAGGTAATCTATTATAGGTTTAACTGAATCATCGTCCTCTTTTCTGGAGTTACAACTCATCAAACTCATGCGATGTATACGCCTAAAGCTAAGTTGTTTATATTTTTTCCAATTTTTTCCACTCGCTCATATAAAGAACTCGCTATTGGGATTAGATGCTTTAATTTTATCACATGACAAGGAACACAGAAAAAACATCTTTCACGCTAGTAGATTAGTTTTCATTTTAACACAAACTACTCTTAGTCCTTTTTCTTACAGATCTGGATGTGCATCCATGTTGAATGTCTCACTTTATGGCGTTGAACAGCCTTGTATTGATATTTTTCAAGGAAAATCACCGTCGAACAAAGTTTGGGTTCATTTTGAAAATTCAGTACATTTCTTTGAGCAAATTAGTGCCCTTTATTTGCTCTAATGTTATCTAGTTTTTCATTTATAAGTTTGCTCAAGGATAAGTAAGCAACGCTCTGCTTTAACCTTTGGAGAGTTATTGATACCCCGAAGAGTAGAAAGGCGAGAAGCATTATTGTAGGAGGTTTGGTATCTATAGATTTTCTAGACTTGTTGATAGTTTTTTAAATTTATTCACCTGATATACATGCATGCTTACATTAATAATTCGCCAGCCTATGAATTTTTGATGAATTGATTTGGTGAAATGGGTTGTCCATGCATGTTATATCCTTGTTTATGGGCTCTAGGTTTCCTTTTCCTTTGTTTGGATGAATGGTTTAATTACTGATTAGAGACTGAAATCATTAAACTAGTTCTATATTTGCTGGAAACCACTATAATCCTCTAATACATCTGTTGCCTCTTATTGTCGAAAACATTTGTTTTGAAAAAACAAGCAAAAGTTTGTGAAGTAATTGTCTTTTTTTTTCCAAATAGGTTCATTCATATAATTAGTAAAGGAAGCACATAGACGTATCTGGATGTTAGTATAAATATAACCATATCCAAATGGAAAAAACAATAATCATAATCCATCCTTCATTGTCTGATTTGGATTTTGAATAAAAAAATCTAAACCATCAGATTTTGGAAATTCATTCAAATATTCATCCGTTCTCTCTCTCCTTTTTTTTCCTTAAAAAAACTTAATTTTTAATTTTATTTTATAATCAATAATGTTAATAAATATAGCTAACTATATGTAGACAAAAACATTATTAATAGATAAACATGCTCTAAATAGTCAATAAGTTAAAAAAACAATAAAAAATATTCTTAAAACATATCCATTCATAATATAACCAAATAAATTGTTCCAATGCAATACTAAGAAAAAAATAGTGTTTGTGAGAACTTATATTTATTGGCAAAACTGTAATTGCAAAACACTTATATAAGCATTTTATAATTATAATTTGGCCATTACATATAGAATATAAATATAATATGTGTGTGTGTTTTGGATTGGATTAGTTCAAATACCACAAAATCATAACCTAACCGTAACCGTGATTTTTTATATATATATTTTATCCAAATACTAACCAAACACTTTTTTTGTCAAGAAAACCTATCCATTCGGATTGGATGGAATACCCATTGGAATCTGATACCATTGCCATCCCTAGAAGCACAAGGGACTTTCATTCTTTCAGTAGTTGTTGAACATGTAGAATAAATTAATATTCATGAAATGGCAGTGCACTTGTTGCATATTGGAGGCTTGACTTCCAGTACCAATGGACAGATGCTGGTGTGTAACAGCATTAAAAAGAAAAAAAAAATCCATCAATGTCCCATGGTTATCAAATTTAGCATATGCCATTTAAATACGGATTGCTTGCCAACCTGAGGTTCAACATAAGCATGTAATAATGTTTGGAAATCTAGAAAGGGCAATTGGATGGGCTATATTTTTGTGATTCCCTTCCCCCATCAGAAATGGATATTAAGGAGCCACTATAAATGCGAGGCCATTCTTCTTTCTTTTTAATCCACTCTTTTTTCAAAAGAAAGGAAAATGAGAGGGAAAAATGGCTAGGAATAAGTCTGCTTTACATTAGTTATGTAGTATAAGCTAGTGCACGCTTAACCTGCAATCAAGTGTCAAGGGTGCTTCACCTAAGCACATAAGCAAACTTAAGGTTGCTGATGGATTTACCAGAATCATTGGTTCATGTCAGGGAAAAACTCTGTTATCTATTGTGTTGGGCTGCGCAACTGAATGTCATGCATGCCAGTAATGCACAATGCTATGGCTCCACTCTCCTTGGAGAAACCTTTTTAGAGGAGGGGAAGTAAGAAGGAACAAAGAGGGAAACTTCAATATTTTTCCTTCTATGGTTCGTGTTAGCAGTATTGGAGGAGGATCCAAATGCATAAACCTTCTGTAGAAAGGTTGACCATTACGATCATGTTGGTCCCTTATTGAGTTGTTTTACATGCCTTTCCATGCTATTCATGTTTTGGTCTGTGATCTATTAAAGTTGGCATATCTTTTTAGCATCATATGCAGTTTGCTGTGTTCAGGGAAGTCGATAAAGAGCAATTAGGGATCTGCAGAAGTTTGGGAAGTATGATGATTTGAAGTCACACTAGATATGGCATACACCCTATGAGAAATTTAATGTTCCTTTTCTTTTTTTTTTGGGTGGTGGTTTTTGTAGCATGCTGGTCTTAAGATTTTAGGTGGTAGTCATACCATGCTGTTCATAATATTTTATTTCCTCGAGCCCTTAGAAAGGATGGATAATGGAAGGTATAAGTTCTGCATTCTACAGTTCCATCCTTTACTCATGCTCTCAGATAGGTTGGATAGTGGAAGCATTGGGGTTTACATTCTAAACTTCCAAGAGGTGCTTCAATTTGTTGGGCTGAAATGAGAAGAGAATTGACTGGCAAGCTATGACCTTATGACATATTGCTAAAAGAGTGCTTTGGTGTCTCAACCCAAGAAATGATAACCAAGAGTTAGGAAACTGCTATATCAAAGATTGGACGAAAACTATAAATCTAAATTTGTGCAATAATATTCTTACTCCGAAGATGAGTGTAAAGTGCTTGGTTTGATTTTTGTTCTAAGAGGCAAATTTAGTTCCTTGTCCATAATAGGCAGGAAGAGAGATACTGGACAACCTAGCTATGTAGGTTCATGAATGTAAAGAAAAGTAGCAAGCTGAAGTCATCAGTTAAGAGTGGCGATTATGTGGGGAGTCTAGGAAGATCCACATTAACACCCGCTTTTGTTGTGAGTTTAAGTTCGTCGTGAAGTGGCTTTCTGGTTGGATATTATAAAAGCAATGGAAAGATGATGGCATTTTGATTTTAAATGGATGTAAGAGTTGATTAAATGACTAAAGATATTGTCTGACTTATATTTGGTAAAAGTAGCTTTTGGGATGTCATTTAAGTAAGGTGAATACTCAACTCAAAACATGGAAAATGTAATAGAGATATCATATGGTTTATATGAGTAATAGGATAAGAATGATTACCACAGCATGTGGGTTGACTCCATTCAATGAGATTTAAGGTGATTACATGTATATATGGAGGTTTGTGAATTTTTGTTATCAATGCCTCATTGCTGGAGGGATTATGAAATTTGTTGTATGATTTTACATTACACTTGCTAGAATAACATATTAAAGATGCAAATATAAGTTCGTTGTACTCCTTTGCATTTTTGCATGCTGTTGAGAGAGATTCTCGGCTGTTGTATCTATGCTATATATCATGAAAGCCATGATACATAAAAGGCATTTAATCCTAAATTGAAAGCCGCAAGTGACAGGATGTACTGTAGGTATTTTATTTCTATGTGCTTCAATTTGTAAATGTCAGCATTAGCAAAGTAGCTAAAAATCTAGATAATATTTATCCTGGTCACTTTCCATCTGAATTCTTGTGTACTGCATTCGATCTTTTTATTTTCTTTGCCATAATTTCTGTAGTTCCTTTTCTTTTTCCTGGTTGATGTAGGATTCTGTCGCCATGCCTGATGCAACTGCATACTTTATTATTATTCAATATGTAGCTAAATATTTATCCTGGTCACTTTCCATCTGAATTCTTGTGTACTGCATTTGATCTTTTTATTTTCTTTGCCATAATTTCTGTAGTTCCTTTTCTTTTTCCTGGTTGACGTTAGATTCTGTCGTGATGCATGACGCAACTGCACTCTTTATTATTATTCAATATGAAGTTTGATTCTGCTGCTGCGGTTGATCTATTGATTATGAATCTTGCCACTTAATGACAGGCTATAAATGTTGTTCTCACAGTAAGAATCTGTTGCTCCTGTGATAAAAACCAAAGTTTCAATGATTATCCATCTTGGGTACGCCAACCTAATTATGAGACACCTAACATGAAAATGGGTTGCGTGTTGGTTTTCATTAGGAATTTGGCTGTTTCTGTATCAATCAGGTCAAACCATGGAGCTGCCAAGCTGAGTGCTAAATTCTGGTGAAGATCTACATTGTTGGCAGTGCATTACCATAGGAGGATCCAATGTTTAATAGTGCATCTTAAACATTAGAAGATGTGGTTACATAACCATGACAATAAAGATTGTTTTTTTCCCCCACCCTTCTAATGGTTTCAGAATTTTCCATAATGCATCTCAGGCAAGACAACGTGGCTTTGCTGAAAATAGTAACCTGTGCCTGCATGGCTTCCAGGTGGTAGGATTAGGATTAGATTCTTGACATAAACCAAACAAGCTTTTGGTTGTGAAGGCATGTACGCACACAATTGCACGTCTGACTTCATTAGTGAAATAATTATTAGGTTTCTGTTTCGGAAAACTATAGGTGGAAATCAAATCTTATCATCAGTTTGGCAAAGCTGTTGGATTGATTACATTCTATTCTTAACATTCGGCCATGAACTTTTTTATTTTTTCTCCATTTTCAATTGAAATAAATCTTCTTTAGCCTGTCAGGAAAGAAAAGAAAAATGCTCTTCCAATCCTTTGGTGGAAATTTGTTTCAAGGTGATGCACTTCTTGTTTTTCTGTAGCAGCATGTTAAACTATGATGTTTAAATATCTGAGAAGCATTTATGTGATATCGCATGACTGTTTGCCGTAACGCCTGTTTAACAGTATTATAATTTTTATCTTGTCTCTGTAGAAATGCATGTTTGCTTCAGTAGTGTGGTGAATTTTGATGTTCAATTATCAATCATTTATTTGTAGGCTAATTGCCTGACCATGGTTTCTCTCAACCCTTGTCAGCTACTTCATAACTTTTGTTTTGGTTGTGATGTATTATGTCCGTGTCTAGCACCGGATGATCAATAATTCATCTTTGTATACAAGGGTTCTTAAAATGCTTGCTCGATTGTTTTTCTTCTGTTATGTTTTTTTGAGCAGGGGACAAATATTTAAAGCCAGTTGTAATATCAGAGCCTGAGATTACTTTTACAAAAAGAGAACCAGAAGATGAATGCTTAATCCTTGCTAGTGATGGCTTATGGGATGTCTTGTCAAGTGACTTGGCTTGTCAGGTAGCATGCGAATGCCTCCGAGAAAAAAATCCTCCTGCCAAGGCCGGGCCTCAGATTGAAGAAGAAGGTGCTGGAGCATTGTACCCATCTCGAAGCATGTTGGCTGCTGCACTTCTTACTCGCCTTGCTCTAGGACGGAGAAGCGCCGATAACATCAGTGTCATTGTTGTTGATCTCAAGAGGAGCTGAGGGTAAGATAGGGGAATCATCCAATTTTGAACTGAACTCTGTACATCTCCTAGAAATCAACATGCACAGACAAGGTTCTATTGGAGAATAACATCTTTATATAAACACAGAGAGCATCAAATGGATTATGGTTTTAGTTACTTCATGGAAGGAGATTTACTGTTGCCTAAACTATTTTTGCTGCTTTGTTCTTCCACAGAGTGCGCCCATGCAGGGTGCCCATCTGCACAAATGACAGGATAACATTGGTCAATGTCTATGATTAAGATATTTTTGCTTTCTTAATGATCTGCCATGCAAACAAACATGAGTTTCGGTCATGTTGAATTAAAGTATAGGGAAAAGGTTACAGATGCATGCACTTTCTCAGGATGGGCTAGAAAGGGAAAATCATTTTAGTTTTGAGGTGGCAGAGTTGTCCATATATGGTCCAGTTTCCATGTCCGTCATCCTTTGATTTCTGGGGCATTTCTGGAAGGTGGGAGGCTGTAACATGCAATGGTTTTTGGATGAGCAAGAATAGAGGAAAACCATGCAGATTCAGGAAGCTGCAATGAGTCCTTAATAAAACATAATTTCCCTCGAATTGTTTTGTTACTTCTTAACTCTCCAAGTAACTCGCCATGCTCTCTTTGCTTGCTTTCTTCTCTACTTCCCTTTGGCTCCGTGAGAACCTTATCCGCCCTCTCTCCTTGATTACCTTGATTCAGCACCATTTCAAACTCCATCTTTCAAACCATATTTACTAAACCCAGCCTGGTGATTCCATGCCTGAAAATTTACCAAGTGAGACCCCAGGCTAAGTCTTACAAACCATGTTACAGACTTGGAAGCTCTCCTTTTCCAAGCCGGAAAATTTATGTTCGCAAATTCAAAAATCCTGCACAGACATTATTAATCAATAGAGGACAGGAGGATCAAAATCCAAAAATCTCATTACTGTCATTTCAATTCCTGGTACGAGCTGAGGTACAGGATAGCTTATAGGTAATAGGATCGGTTTCAAGAGCCAATAAAAGTAGTCATTGCAGTTTCCCTAAAATGAGGTAGGCAGCCATTGTACCTCAGAGATGTGTTCCATATCAGAAATCCTGGAAATCGCAGCAAAAACTAAAACCAGGAAAGTAGAAACCTTCTGGCAGCACAGAATCTTCCAGCCAAAGTATCAAAAACTAAAACCAGGAAAGTAGAAACCCTCTGGCAGCACAGAATATTCCAGCCAAAGTTAGTGTGGTTTTTTGGATAGCAGAAGGCCACAGATTAGACAACGGAGCCCACCGTCAACCTACTTCTTTTAAAAAACACAAAGCAGAAGGCCACAGATTAGACAACGGAGTCCACCGTCCACCTACTTCTTTTAAAAAACACAACTCATCAGTGTCATAAAATTCTGGAAATCTTCCTGAACCCCAAGAAATAATATTTTAAAGAGCTCAAACAAAACAAATTTGAAAACTGATAGGTGTATCTATAAAATAGAATTTATACCATTTCTTTTCTCTTTGGAGGGGCTCCTTCTCTTCTATTTTTTCCTTGCTGACAAAAGATGTATTGTGGACACAGATTTTCCCTTTAAAGAAAGTAAATAAATTGCTGGCATTGAGATCATGGAGGTAGGACAGAGGATATTCATTGTTTGTCTGGGAGCGAGAGTTTTTGTTTAAAAAGACGTCTTTAGTTTTAAAGAATACCAATAAAGATAGAAAATAAATGTGTTTTTAATATAGTTTTAAGAGTTAATTTTCAGCTCTACTGGTTTTCACACAATATAATGTGCCAGCTGGCTTATTTAGAATGAAAAATAATATCTTATATTTTTTTTTATGATATAGTTTTTTATATCTACAAGTCTATTTGCGGTTGGATTAGTATTATTTTTTAATTTTTCATTAAAGTATATTTTCAGAGAATTTTACTTATCCTATACGTACCTTCATGTATATATATATATATATGTGTGTGTGTGTGTGTGTGTGTGATAATGACTTCAAAATTAAAATAAAGAAATCAAACCTTATCTTTTTAACAACCATGCCAATTGTTTTAGTTTTTCTTTTTTCCATTAATTTTTAATTATGCATGCTGCTCCTGGTTTTAATAAAAGGAATTAAATTAAAAAAAGGAAGAAGATTATATTCATTATAATATTTTAGTGTGAAATGAATGTTGTGATTAATCATCATTATCCTTTTGAGAGGCGGCCAAAATTGCGACGTGGTTTATCACGTGAGCAAAGTACCTTGCAAGGAGTCATAATCCCAATGGTCTCCACGTGATTTACACTTCAATCAAATTGACAAGTCAACCCTTTTTTCTTCTTTGTTTTCATTTTCGTCCTTTTGGGTGAAGTATAAAACTGCCACTGTAGTCTTACTAATGTTCCAATCCTATACTTATACTTCAAAAATATTCAATATTCTCCCATTGTTTCCGAAAACCTTTAACTATTAAAGGAATCCTTTTCTTTCACAATTTTTTTTTGTAGTTTTTCTTAAATTCTTATATAGACGACCAATCAATATCTTAATAAATACTTCGAAAAATATATAGAAACAAAAGCAGAACAAAAAAAATCCAAAACGTGAGATCATTACTAGAATTTTGTTAGCTTGTTAGTAGATGGGGTAATACTGAAACTTTTGGAAAGTATAGGGTGAAATTAAGAAATATAAAACTATAGGAGCAAAGTGAAAGTTTTCTGAATTTGTAAGGATAAAAGTATTGAATATTCTTGAAATATTCTAAAAAAATACAAGCTACCATTTATTTAAAAAAATATATTCCCCACCTCCTTTCCTCTAATTCCCAAAAGGATGGCTGCCCTCCTCCTCCTAGCTGGTATCATTGCAATTGACCAATTATTCCCTCTCAGATTCGGTTTTCTCGACCATAAAGAAAGAATAAATTGAATGTTGAAAAATCAAAACAAATTAGTCAAAACAATGCATTTCCGTTTTCTCATCTTCAAATTTGCTGGCTATTTGTTCTACACAATGCTCGCCCGAATTGATTTCCTCTCCATGAACCCTAATTTTCCACTCATTGTGGGTCAGGTAATGTCTAGAGAACGATAGTATTTTCTTCCTTTGAAAAACAATTTAGATATAGATTGGTGCAACAAAAAGCTGCTAACAATGAAAGATTTCAAAACGTGCAAGGCTGGGCTCCTTCCAACAAGGCTGTAGCCAGCTTTGATTTCTTGACTAATAAATAATAACTCAAATATTAAACAGTAATTCTCATGGTTTTAAAACAAAAGAGTCAATCCAAAAGAAATAATATCATTATAACAAAAAAAAATTAAAAATCAATAGGCTAATGGTCAAACCGGCCAAACCAACCCAAGTTTTTATTTAAATTATTATTATTTTTTTAATTTGATGATACAGATCAACCTGTAAGGCTGTTATTATTAATTGAGTTTTAATCCAATGATAATTGCATGATTTAATAGTATAAAAACTGGATTAATTTAAAGAGAAGTGTTAGGAGTCTATAAGCACAAACTTAAGAGTCTAGTCACATTACAATCTCTAGGGTGAAAACAAAATTAAAACATCAATTAAACTAAGAAAACAAAAAAAAACTAATTAAACCAATAAATATTTAAAAAAAAACAGTAACCAGGTTACGTTTTTGTTTTATAAGCACAAAATCAAAAAACCCAAACTAAATAGAATTTAAATAAAAAAAATAGAGCCAAATTGAGTCAAAATTAAGCAAAATCAGAAAAATCGAGCCAAATAGAAAAAATCAAGCAAAAACTGGAAAAATCAAATCAAAACTTAAAAAAAAAAAATAAAAAAAACCAAGCCAAATAAAAAAAATTAAACCAAGACCTAACTAAACCGGAAAAACCAAGTCAAACTGATTTGAACAGGTTTTTATTCTAAAAACTAAACCAAATCAAACCAAAATCATTCTATTTAAATCAATTTTGATTTAATTTTAGTTTTTCTTTTTAAATTTTAGTTTAATTACTTTTTTTTTAATAAAAACATAAAAAACAATATACTCCGAAAACCTTTAACTATTAAAGGAATCATGCTTTCACCCTTTTCTTTAACATTTTTTTTTGTAGTTTTTCTTAAATTCTCACATATACGACCAATCAATATCTTAATAAATACTTCGAAAAATATATAGAAACAAAAGCAGAACAAAAAAAATCCAAAACGTGAGATCATTACTAGAATTTTGTTAGCTTGTTAGTAGATGGGGTAATACTGAAACTTTTGGAAAGTATAGGGTGAAATTAAGAAATATAAAACTATAGGAGCAAAGTGAAAGTTTTCTGAATTTGTAAGGATAAAAGTATTGAATATTCTTGAAATATTCTAAAAAAATACAAGCTACCATTTATTTAAAAAAATATATTCCCCACCTCCTTTCCTCTAATTCCCAAAAGGATGGCTGCCCTCCTCCTCCTAGCTGGTATCATTGCAATTGACCAATTATTCCCTCTCAGATTCGGTTTTCTCGACCATAAAGAAAGAATAAATTGAATGTTGAAAAATCAAAACAAATTAGTCAAAACAATGCATTTCCGTTTTCTCATCTTCAAATTTGCTGGCTATTTGTTCTACACAATGCTCGCCCGAATTGATTTCCTCTCCATGAACCCTAATTTTCCACTCATTGTGGGTCAGGTAATGTCTAGATTGAAGTGTAGAGAACGATAATATATTCTTCCTTTGAAAAACAATTTAGATATAGATTGGTGCAACAAAAAGCTGCTAACAATGAAAGATTTCAAAACGTGCAAGGCTGGGCTCCTTCCAACAAGGCTGTAGCCAGCTTTGATTTCTTGACTAATAAATAATAACTCAAATATTAAACAGTAATTCTCATGGTTTTAAAACAAAAGAGTCAATCCAAAAGAAATAATATCATTATAACAAAAAAAAATTAAAAATCAATAGGCTAATGGTCAAACCGGCCAAACCAACCCAAGTTTTTATTTAAATTATTATTATTTTTTTAATTTGATGATACAGATCAACCTGTAAGGCTGTTATTATTAATTGAGTTTTAATCCAATGATAATTGCATGATTTAATAGTATAAAAACTGGATTAATTTAAAGAGAAGTGTTAGGAGGCTCTAAGCACAAACTAAAGGCTCTAAGCACGTTACAATCTTTAGGGTGGAATTTTTTTTTTGAAAAATCAATTAAATCCAGAAAACTAAAAGAAAATAATTACATAACAAAAAAAACCTAATTAAATCAATTAAAATTTAAAAAAAACCAGCTGGTTAGGTTTTTTTTATAAGCATAAAATAAAAAAACCAAACCGAACCGAACTCAAACATAAAAAACAGAGCTAAACTGAGTCAAAATTGAGCAAAACTAGAAAAATCGAGTCAAAATAAAACCAAATAAAAACTGGAAAAACCAAGCCAAAACCGGAAAAATCAAGCCAAGACCTAACTAAACCGGAAAAATCAAGACAAACTGATTTGAATATGTTTTTATTCTAAAAACTAAACCGAATTAAACCAAAACAATTCTATTTTAATCAATTTTGATTCTATTTTAATTTTTCAATCAATTTTGATTTGATTTTATTTTATTTTTTCTTTTTAAATTTTAATTTAATTATATTTTTTTTAATAAAAACCGAAACACATAAAAAACAATGAGCCCTAACAATCCTAACAGGAGAAAGAAAAAGGGAATGGCTCTAGGAATTCAACTTTCGTGTGGGGCTAAACCGTGTGGAAGAAAGAAGCACAGGTGTTTGAAAATGGAACAGGCAAACAAAGAAAAAAAAAAACAAAGATCACCTACTCCACTTTCATTATTGCCTTTTTAGTTTCTCGAATGGATGACCTAAACATTACCTTTAATTGTTTAGTTTTTTCATCCCCCTTTAGTTTTGTTGTGCAAAATAGCCCCTACGTCTTCTTATCACTCTCCTCTTTCAGCCTTTTAAATATAATAATTTCAATGGTGGTTACATACATGATTTGAAGCTCGATCCAGCTTTACCCAGATCTCAAGTTTATTTTAAAAATTTAAAAATGATATTATTTTCTAGGTTTTTATTTTAAAAAAATATAGAAACATGGATTTTTCTAAATATGATATTGAAATTACAACCACACCAACCTCCCTTTAATTAAACAATGTTTTTTTTTTCTTATACAGTTCAACGACTGGTTACACAATTTAAGCAATTTCCCCATTTTTTAATCTCCCATCTTTTTCCACCATCTAGTATTGAGTGGACTTCAATCCCTAATCCATAATCAAACTTGACAAATCAAGCAGAGCAAAGAGGCATCCACATGAAGGCTGGTTTGAATTATAAGTGATGGTATAAAAGTATGGTTATGGTTATTTTTTAAAATATTTTTTATAATAAAATGTATTAAAATAATATTTTTTTATTTATTAAAAATTATTTTATAAATTAGTATATTAAAATGATCCAAAACATAAAAAAATTTAAATTTTTATGAACGTGATTTCAAACCATGTCTAAAGATTTACTGTGCTTAAATTTCTGTAATTTTAAAAATAATTTTATTTAAAAATTTATTATTTTAGAATTTTGTTTTTTATTTTACCACATAAAAACTATTATAAAAAGTATTTTAAATAGAAGCACCGTTTCACATTAGACCTTCAGCTTCATAGTTCACATTTCCACTTCGAAAGCCATCTACTACTTAGGAAAGTGATCGGCAATTAAGGATTAAATAGTGGATGGTACGCTACACAACAGGACACCACTCACAACCCCCAAATCTCGTCTATCTTTCTGTCTCTTTATTTTTTATTTTAAAATATTTTTTTAACAAATTAATTTTTTTATTATTATTTTTACTTCCAATTAATATTTTTAAATCATTTTAATATATTAATATTAAAAATAATTTTTAAACATAAATAATATTAATTTAAAATATTTTTAAATAAAAATATTTTAAAAAACAATAATTAACACATTTCCAAACATCCTTATAGATGCAGACACTGACAATACTGTGATTCCTTTTGTTTTTGTATTTTGGTTTGTTTAGCTTGGAGAAAATATTAAATTAATAACTTTTATATTTTTTTATAGTTTTTATGTAAAAATTAAAAAAAAAAATTTAATATTAAAAATATTTTTAAAAACACTTTATACAATAATAATATCAGAAACACGATAAAGTTAAACTTTATCTACCAAAAAGAAAAGGGTAGAAAATGATAGCAAACCCAACAAAAGCTCTTATAATCAAAAGGTACAAATGAACACTCATACACATTGATGTAACACCTAACCACAGCAAAGAGATCGAACTCATGAACTTGAGCTCAATTCATACATCACTGCCACCCTTAACCAGGGTTGGATTCTAAGCCTAGAGATTATCTACTCCATTACGTGTTAATCCCTCTCTCTCGTATTCATTCTTGCATGCCCTGGTAAGGAGACCAAACTACAAGAATTTGTCCTTAGTTTCATATTATTATGCATTGAAAAGGAAATTGTCTAATTTCTATGGATCAGGCATCATTACAAGTGGAAATTTTCTTAATATCAAGAGAAGATATAATCATAAAGTGTGTTTTTTATTCTTAAATATATTAAAATAATATATATTTTTAGTTTTTAAAATTTATTTTTGAAATTAACGTATTAATTTACAAAATAATAAAAAAATAATTTTTTTAAAATCAATGTTTTTGCTAAAAAACAAACAAGATTTATCTTTTTTTATAAAATAAAATTTTAATGCTGCGCGTAGCGGAAAGAAGAAATTATTATTTTACAGACCCCTAAAAATTATAGTTGAAATGTAGAGAAAACTCAAATTTAATTAATTTTAATAAATTCTAATGCAAAACATATGTAAAATCATTTAAATAGTAAGCTAAATTGATTCAAATTAAAAAAAAATAATCTAAAATTAACAAGAAGGAGAAATCCTAAACAAGAACTTTTATGATGAATTTTGGCATATAAAGGGCCTTGGCTTGCGCAATTGATCTCACAAGGAACAAAGTTTATAAAACATTCTTGTAAAACGCCAATAAAATTCAATAATCAAATTAAAAATTATACATAGTTTGATTTCGCCAACGTTAGAACCTTCGAACTACACGTTACACGTCAAATTTGAGTTCCTTCCTCCCAAGTTAAAGTCCTCGAGCGCCCACACGCTCGTGCACCCAATCTCCAAAGTGAACAGAGAAGATCAAAGAAACGAAAACAAAATCTATGGAGCAGATAGAAAGAAACCAGAAGCCAGGAAAGGCTTCCCATTATCTTCCAATGACAAAACTTTCCTTCTTCTTCGTCACCAAATCTTTCTAGTCCTTTTCTGATCACCGCAACCATGCCATCACGCCCGGCCCCTCCTTTCCTTCCACCCCAACCTTCTCCTCTCCCCTACCACCAACGCTCTTCCAGCCTAATCACTCCCCT